AGTTTCTATTTTTGGTCGTTCCCACGCCATTTGTTTTGCGAAAGTCGTTGATAACGGATTTTTTATTAACAATTTAAGGCCCCTGCTTTTCCAAATTTTTTGGTTGGGTATCAAAATCAACCTACAATGCGCACTTGGTTTTTGGGCATGCTTTGACTTTGTTTTTTAGTCCGCGGCTATAGCCCGGACCAAGAAAACTGCGAGAGTCATGCGTGTGTTAGGTGTCCAGGCGAACACATGTAGCTATGAGGACTACATGTTTGATGCAGACGAAGAAAGTTCTGCTAGTGGTAACTCTGTGGGAAGTGAAGCGGTATTGGACGGTGTTGCCAATGCCTAGAACATGGACGGGTTAAGGGAAGAGACCCCAGCGCGTAATAGCGCCAGCCATGGAAGATTGGACAAGAAGTAGTCCCACTCTCACCATTAGAGAGACGACATAAGCGAATCCAGCAGCCCTATGGATAGTGACGACGAAAGAAGTAGTGAGGTGGCTTCCAGCGGCAGTCGCAAGCGGGATCATACAGAGTGTGTTCGAAGAGCTTTACTAGGCGGGGACTGTCCATAAATATCACAACAATTGGAAGGAGTTGGACACATATCTGAAGAGGTACCAGAAACAAAATATGACAGTGCTGATAATTTCGGAGACTCAATATGTGACGGCGTCAAACAAACTGATCCTTACAAACCATTTGGAGTTATCGAGAAAACGGCTTTAAAGATTGGCCAGCTATATTCGAACTTAAGTGATATTTTGCAAACAGGGCCTTTTCCCACACAGACCCATTTTCTCGAGGTGTATCGAAGGCGAACTTGTACTCAACTGAGCAATGGACACGCGTCCGGCCCCCTCCTCCACTCCGACACCCACCAGCAGTCATGCAAGCCCCAGTGCGTCGTCCGAGCAGGGCGTCGCAGTTTTCGGTGAAAGACGGCTGCTTGGGTCGCTAAGACCGGATCCAGAAGGCAACAATGAAATGGATTCCGACGACAGTGTGTGGGAGCCTGTCTCGGATGAGTCGAGCGCAGCGTCAAGTGCTGAAGAGGCTCAAGATGGACTTTCAGACGTGGAGTCACTGGATGAGTTCGCTGAGGACAGAGGCATCAATTTGGTTGGCGAGGACTTTCACGACACAGTGGTCGACTTAATCCAGCACGACAAGTGCGAGGACCATTGCCTCCAGGGGAAGGCTGCTGAACTTGAAGATTTCCTGCGCTCGACATCAATCATGACTGCCCGGGAGATGAAGCAGAGCGTCCTGACTTCGTTGGCGATGCTCATGAAGACAGACACCGCAGTGGGGCGTCGGGGTACTGGGGAAAGGCAAGTTTTCACGTTCTACCTGCCACTGATAGGGCGTGTTTGCAGAGATGCATGGTGTGCTGTCTACGGCGTTTCTACGGCAAATATCACTCGCTACCGCCATCAAATTCAACGTGGCGCCTTCTCCGTCAAGGTACACAAGGGTCTACTGAACATGAACGCTACAAAGATCGACATTCGCTGGTTGGTGAGCTGGTTTCGGTCGTTTGCTTCGACCCTAGGCGATGTTGTTCCCGTGAGAGTCCGCACACAGAAAACGATAGCCGGTGACGTACGCAAGCAGTACACGGACGAAAACTACACGCTGGTGCCTGCATACGTTACTTTGGGTCAGCTCTACTCTGAGATGAATGCCTATGTGCTTGAAAACGACCTGGACGTGCGTGAACCCCGCCCTTTGACATTTCGAAAGCTCCTACAGCAGTATTGTCCGACGATGCGGATCAGGTCTCCTCGTAGCAACGTGTGTGACTTGTGTGCTATCCTGCACACTCGCATGCGGTCGTGTATCACGACGGAGCTTACTGAGGAGCTAGACGTCCATACTGAAGCCGCGAAGGAGATGAGGTACGGATACAAGAATCATTTTTTTGCAGCGGGGCTGCCGGTAGCTTTAAGCGTCCAGAGGAAGACGTTCGACTTCAAGGAGTCACTGATACTAAAGTTCCTTTATCC